GTTGAAAAATATTAAGTAATATAATAAAAGATTACATATTCAGAAAGCAAAGAAACAATTTATTTATTACTAAACTAGCTTTTTTCCCGCGACTCCGTTTGCGTGGAATAGTGATATCCTGCAGATTTTTAATTTAAAAACTGCCCTATGTCCTTTCTCGAGTCTCTGTCAAACTACGTCTGAACCAAATTTCACTGAGGCCGGTTCAGTAGTTTAGGCGCGAAGGAAAGACAGACAGACAGACAAGGTTTCTTTCGCATAAATAATATTAGTTTGGATTTGGATTTGATGACAACAAAACAAGCATCGCAACATCGCAACAACAAACAATTCTAAACACGACCATTATTTGTTTAATCAATATCACCTCAAACCGTTGCTAAGCGTAACTACGCCGAAATAAAAAGCCCCTGAAAAAAATGGCCGGAAAACCAAAGAAAAAAGAAGACGAAGACGACGGTGATAGTAAAAAAGAAGAAAAGAAAACTAAAAAGAAAGGCAAGAACAAAGGGAAATGCAACGTAGACATGCTAACTGAAGCCGCCATGAACAATGTTTATTACGCCTGTCATAATGTTCAGGAGTTGCTTCAGGCCCGGGGATTCCATCCACCTGATTTTGTCAAGAAGAAAAAGAAGCGATAGAGACTGCTTCTGTAAGAGAAAATCAGAAGATTATTAAAACTTCTAATGATCTGCTAATATATTATCTGAATGTGGTATTTTGTTAATGTTTTAGAGATGTGTATACGAAAATGTTTAAGTTTTTTTTTCGTTTATTTATTTAATGTGATTAAAGTAAAGAATTGTGATAGTGAAATAAGATTATAAATTATTTAATATTATATTTTAGTGAATGAAATTTAGTGTTGTTTTCTTGTACATAAAGACGGGAAACGTTCTGTAAAGTCAGACTTTTATTCTGCAGTTAACATAATCCGATTTTGTAGACGTCCTTAATAAATAATAGTCTTTGTATAATAAAAACTCCATGCTCTAAAGCTCATACTGGCCAAAAAAAGAACTCCTAAATAAGACATAATGCCGGTGTCATGTCAAAATAAATGTCTCATAAAGTTCGGTAATTATGTAAATTGTACAAGTGAAAAATTAAAATAAAATAATGTATGTGAGAAACGAACAACGTAAATGTGCTACATCGTTCTTAGAAAAAGATCTCGTGTTCATATTTCGTTGTTAAATAACAGTGAATATGTATAAACTGGAATATGGTTCAAAGTAGATAAGGTAATTTTCATATTCTTCGTAATTTCTGTGACCCTGGTACCTGTAGAAGATTCCCTGCATGAAATATTCTGTTTATGAAATAACTTTGGAACTTTTAGCAAGATTTTCTGGCTCGAACGCAATTTAATTTTAATCTATACCCAAGGACAGGTATTTATGTAAATAAATCAAAAATTATTATAATTAGATTCTATTTTTAAACGGAGAAGCCTCGGGAAGGACAAAGAACATACCCATCGCGGCTGTCCTTTAAAAAGGTCAGGTAAGTACTTGTAAGTGGCACGATCATATAGTATGTATGTAAATGTCAAAACAGTCGTTTGCATTGAACAAGATATTTGTGAAAGATACAATAATATTACTAATCTTATATCCTTCTACAACGTAGAAATATGATACTTGGATAAAACCACGGAAAAGTGTTCCACTTCCAATAAAATAATAAAAAATGAATAGAAATCTAAAGAATAGAATCGTAGCAATCCGCGGCGTGAACGCTACGAGCTACGAACGCTACGCCATATTACTATGACGCGACCATTTATTAACGCTCACTTAAATAACAAGGAGCGAAGGATTCGATCCTGGTCGTAGTTTGTTGTGCTACAAGCTTCTGTATAATTCTTGATACAAGTGTTCGCCGTTTTGAAACTTTTGTGTAACACAAGTTCTTGTATTGTTTATAAATGATAGAAACTTTTTAACAATACAGTCCAGTTATTTTAAAATCATCCAGCTTTACCTGAAATGTTTTAAACAATTACTTTTATGATTGTGTATCTAAACGCACTTGGCTCCGGGCCGTGCTTCTTTAATTAAACCTAACCAAGATTGTAGAATAACAAAACCATTTTGGAATATTTATTCGCATAAAAACATGGTATAAAGGTGCTACTAAGACTAAGTAGAACACGCTTCAGCTACATAATAAATAGCATACAAATATTCGATTCTATTTGTTCAAGATCTTTGATCTTAAAATTTTATGAACTCTTTAACGCTATAAAGATTTGGCTCATTTAGCCAGTGGTGTAGCTTTACTTAAACATTCTTTTCCTTATTTGATAAGGTAGTTTATTATAAATTCTTTTTGACATACTTTTGAATCAATTTAGGTTAACTACAATCCTTCTCATGACAACTAATTTTAACCTAGTACTTAACTTAATCTATTTTAGATAATCAATCACAGTCAATCAACTATTAAGATTCACCGCCTCATCTACTATCTTTCAAAGTTAAGTTCCCGAATCCGTTCTTCCATACCGCAGCAAATTCAATCCCAAATTGAATTTAAATTGTCTCCCAAAGTAAATGTTGGGCGGGTTTTAAACGAAAATACATTGAGAACGATTTTTGTTTCACAGTTATTAGGACTGGCTGGTTTGATTGGGCAAATCATTGGGTCTTTAAACCGACGATATCTTTCTCTGAAGTTTATTGCCGGTTCTCATAATGACGTTTACAATTTGGCCACGTTTATTAGCTTCGTTTAAGGGTGTCAAGATAACGACTGCCTTACAGACTTGAGAGTTTCGGACGGGAAAATGTATAGGTATTTGTAAAACGGAGGTTTTGTTTACCAGAATTTTGTAAAGTGGCTCTCTTCATTGTCGCTTTTTAATTAAATGTGATAAAATAATATTTCTTAGGACAAAGTTGCCATTCTTTTTTTTATTTATTTTTAAACTCATTTATTTAAAGCTAGCTGCCCACCCCTGCTTTGATGGGTATCCAACCGGTTGCAATTGTTTCCTGATATCCCTCTCTACTTTCTAATATATTTTTTTTTATACGAGTAAGAGCTATTTCCTGACCATAAAATATTTGGCAAAAGTTTTTTATTGTTAAGTTAGCGCATACAAATTTTGCGATTCATTGTTATATAGGTAAGTGAGCTTTGCGATTAATGTTTCCACGAAACATACTCGCATGTTATGTAGTATGTGCCTATGTAGCTTTGACTTTATATACAATTTATCAATTTTAATAAATATTCCATCGAAGTAATCTAAGCCTTTGGTTTATGTGTCGTCAAAATAAATGATGATGATTAGTTTGAGTACTTATAAATCACCACGCTTGTTCCTTGGGAGGATCATGCACTTTCATGCGGGTGTAATCTGCGCCCAACCCGGCACTGACATATTTACTTTAATCTACATAATATCGGGCCCCTTTTTAGCATAACACAGGACAATTCCGTTGGTAAGGATAAATTGTATGAATCTTTTTTTTTGTAGTCGGTAAACCTTCGAACTACTACTTCTATTGCGCTTCGTAAAGCCAGACGAAGTCTTCAACTCTTGACTGACTAAAAACGACAGCTGTCCTTCTGCTGGTCCAGGTCAGGATGGCGGTACATAACTGCTCCTCCGTACTTGCAATCCTGGATTGTTTAAATCAATTATTAATGTGCCTAATAAACTGCTGTAGCCCTATTTCCATGTACACAACAATTTTAATGGAATCAGAATGGAACAGAAACCCGCAAATACGTAAATATAACTAAATACATGCTTAAGTACATATTTTTTTTATCTGGTACGCTAGCAACCGAGCTTACGGTTAACGGGAATAAGGGATAATAGGGAGCCAAGAGTTGAACAGGTATAGGAAGACAGGAAGGATTGAGCCTCCGGTAACCTAACTTACACGGCGAAACACAACGCTGTGGTTTTCTGTGACGCAGTGGTATCACTCCGGGCCAACACACTTCAATATGTATGTCAAAGTTAAAATCAAAATCATATATTCCAACAAAATTATAAATAGGTACTTTTGAAATGTCAAAATAGAATAGTAGTCTATTAATCTGTAATAGTGTAATAGTGTATGTTTTTATGTTAATTTGGTACTTAAAAATGTGTGTCCAACCATACTCCAACCCAACCTCCTTTCCTTCCACTCTACTTGCCTCTGCATCACCCATAAAATTTTACCCCCAAGATAATGAAGACAAGCCATGCTGGACGCTTCATAAACGTCGAGCGAAAACTATGTAGTTTATCGTGACGAAAACCGACCTTTGTTGTGCTGCTCCGATTTACATAACCTATACTATAATATTATAAAGAGGTAAAATATTTTTTGTATGTAGGGGTTATCTTTTTAACTGCTAATATCTATATAACATCACCCTACTTCCAATAGGAGCCGAGCGCCGGGTGAAACCGCGCTGCAGCTGCTAGTAGGTAATTTATACAAAAGCTTAGTCTGCGGCACGTGTTTCAAAATACTTTTTATCTCTCTAATACTTTATATCTGGTCTTACTAAAATTAACCGTATCGACTTCACTGCACAATAGGCGTGAGAAACATAAGTAGATAGATTTTTGTACTAAATAAAAAGATTTTATTAAAGAAACAATGAAAAAATTAACTTATTTTTGCAAATAGGCCATAAAACGGCACTTTTACACGTCAATTTATATGTGAAAAACTAGGTGAAGCCGGCATACTCTGAGAAGAAATGCCGAAACAAAAGGTCAGTCTAAAAACGAATACTTAAAGACTTCGAATGTTGCAAGAATGTTTAAAGAAATGATATAGAAAAGATAATATTGTCTTACTTTTTAGCTATCAATGTTCCAATTTCAGATCCACGACGCCTCTGATAGACAAACTTTGATATTAAACTTGACTACAATACCACACTTTTTGTTCCAGAGACTAATGCAGTTAAAATAAAGGATAATATATATAATTGAGAGAAACAAAACAATTTACTGTTCCTTGTTTTAGTAGCGGACGATGGCACCAGCGGTGGGCATAGATCTTGGGACCACATACTCCGTGGTGGCAGTATTCCAGAATGGGAAAGTGGAGATCATTGCGAATGAGCAAGGTAACAGGACAACGCCCTCGTACGTCGCTTTCACTGACACTGAACGGCTCGTCGGTGATTCCGCTAAAAGTCAGGTATACTTTGTTTACTTATACTTATACTCTTATAATATTATGTTCTTTGGTCTATGCTCTAGCTCTAGGCGTTCTCATATTTCGAATCGCCGTCAGATATTTTAGAATTTTTGATACCTTCATATAAGACATCAGATTGTTTTTTACAAATCCTACTTCTTTAATTTTAGGTAGCAATCAATCCCAAGAACACAGTTTTTGATGCAAAACGTCTCATCGGACGCAAGTTTGATGACCCCAAATTACAAGAAGACATTAAACATTGGCCGTTCCAAGTCATTTCTGACGGTGGGAAACCGAAAATTGTCGTTGAATATAAAAAAGAAACGAAAAGGTTTTCTCCAGAAGAAATCTCATCCATGGTCTTAAATAAAATGAAAGACATTGCTGAAACATATTTGGGTGAGACGGTTAAGGACGCTGTTATCACTGTGCCAGCTTATTTTAATGACTCCCAGAGGCAGGCTACAAAAGATTCTGGTGTAATAGCTGGCCTTAATGTTCTCAGAATCATTAACGAACCCACAGCCGCCGCTCTTGCCTACGGTCTCGATAAAAATTTAACTGGCGAAAAGAATGTACTGATATTTGATCTTGGTGGTGGTACATTCGATGTTTCAATTCTTCAAATTGCTGAAGGATCCCTGTTCGAAGTAAAGTCTACATCAGGAGATACTCACTTGGGCGGAGAAGATTTTGACAGCAGAATGGTGGATCATTTCAGTCAAGAGTTTGAAAGAAAATATAAAAAGAACTTGAAAGAAAATGTAAAATCGTTGAGAAGACTTCGAACGGCTTGTGAGAGAGCTAAAAGAACACTGTCAACTAGCTCAGAAGCGAGTATAGAGATAGATGCGTTGTTTGAAGGAATCGACTTCTATTCTAAGCTCACGAGAGCGCGATTTGAGGAGCTATGCACTGACTTATTTCGATCAACCTTGGGTCCCGTAGAAAGAGCATTAAAAGATGCTAAATTGAACACGAGAGAAATCCATGATGTAGTTTTGGTTGGCGGCTCTACAAGGATACCGAAGATTCAAAGGTTGTTACAGGTAGCAAATAATAAATACATTGTACAGTATTATATTATTAATGAACTTATTATTTTTCTAATATATTACTTTAATCCGCATCGGAATTTCAGGAATTTTTTGGTGGCAAGTCTCTTAATCTCTCTATTAATCCTGACGAAGCTGTAGCATATGGGGCTGCAGTACAAGCAGCTATTCTAAGCGGTTCTAAGGACACACGCCTTGCTGAAGTATTATTGGTCGATGTAACACCCCTTTCGCTGGGTATTGAAACCGCTGGTGGAGTGATGACCCGTTTAGTAGAAAGAAATACTCGAATCCCAATAGCGCAGAAACAAACTTTTAGTACTTATGCTGACAATCAACCCGCTGTTACCATTCAGGTAAATCGATTAAAAGAAGTATCGAAGGTCTTTAGTGATCGAATCATTCTCGGCGAAATAAAAATAAAAATAGTCGCTTTAAGAAAATAAAGTGTCAATTTTCTTGCAGAGGCTGTAGGTGTACTTTATGTACTTTTGTTTAATTTTTCAGATATACGAAGGCGAAAGAGCAATGACAAAAGACAATAATTTGTTGGGCACTTTTAACTTAACCGGCATACCACCAGCTCCAAGAGGAATACCTCAAATTGAAGTTAGTTTTTTCTCGATTCGGTCATACTGTTTCGTCGCCTTTATATAAGCACCCAATCGAGACGATCTTCGGCCACCGTAAGCGCGGGCCTGCGGACGACGAGTAAGGGAAGCTCGCCGCCCGACCAAAACCAGATCTGAGCGGATGGCGCGCAGCGTTCCGCGGTCTCGGCCCAGAACAGGAGAAGCAACAAGGTGTTTTTAGTCAGTAAGAGTCTGACACTCCCTCCGACCCGAACCAGAGCGGGAAGTCATTTGACGATTTTTCCCTCACAACAAAAAAAAGTTCCTTATAATTTTTTTTGTACAAATTCATACAATTATGTACATATTCAGCAATAGCGGCCCTTTGTACCATTATCCTCTATAATGACAAAAGGGTCGCTATATTCAAATTATCTCCTCTACTTTGCTAAAACAGTTTAAATTTTCATAGGTTACATTTGACATTGACGCCAATGGCATTCTTAATGTTAGCGCTCAAGATAGAAGTACGGGGAGATCGGAACATATTACAATTTCCAATGACAGAGGCCGCCTCAGTAAGAATGATATTGACAAAATGTTGCACGAAGCTGAGCAGTTCAAAGCAGAGGATGAAGCCTCCAAGAAGAAAGTCGAAGTTAAGAATCAGTTGGAAGGCTACATTTTTGGCTGTAAAACGGTATGTATTTCTTTCTAAATCGTACAAAATTTCTGTTTTTCATCACATTCCAATGTGTTTTTCTAATTGATATGGATTATTTTTACATATAGTTGTCATATGGATTAGTTTTACATACAGTCATTTGATAGTTTTACCTGAAAATTCAAAATACAGTGGAAGTGTGTATTAAACATTGCCAATTTTATAGATTATGTGCACTTTCCGAATCTTTATTATCCTTGTGTCTTTCTCTCTCTTTCTTTCTTTTACAAAATAAGAAGAAATTCGAAAAAAAATCTAGAACAACGTATTTTAACGCGTCTTAAATTGACAGATTGCCTAAAAATGTATAAAATATCTATGGCAAATGTGTATTGTTTATTGTAATCTTATATTTTACACACCATTCAATAATTCATGATTAGAATCCCTTTATTTCCTGCCACATCGGGGACAAAAATAAGTATTTAATCAAAATAAGCGTTTTCCTAAAATGTTCACAAGATTATTGTTACATTTTAGGCAGTAGACAATGCTGGATCCAGGTTGACGGAGGATGAGAAGAATAAAGTTCGTAATGAGTGCAACAATCAGCTGCGATGGCTCGAATCTCATGGTAACGCTTCGATCGACGAGCTGGAGAATCATTTGAAGGAATTGCAAGCTGTGTGTCAACCCGCCATGATGAGACTACACGGCGTTGGGGGAGGGCCAAGTAACCAGCAACCAGAGAATGAAGGCCCAAGAGTCACAGAACTTGATTAAATAAGGCTCCATGACGAACATTTGATAGCGCAGTGTACTTTAGCCTTTATTGCTTAAAACCTTGATTTTTAATTTAATTTGTCTCGAAATATAATTTTGTAAATATGAACTACATCATTTTCATTTTCCCTAAAACTCCTCTTACGGGAATTTCTATTCTGTCTAACACGTAAGAGTTATGATTTTATAAGTTTGAGATGAAAATAATAGGTACATTGTTATAATTTTGGTTGGTTAATCTTGGTAATTCTAGACACAATAGAAGAGCAATACGTTCGCGTTCGCTTGGATATTGATGAATTAAAACAATACAAAGTTTTAATATAAAATCATTTATTACAAAAATATAACAATAATGTCGAACATATCAATGATATTGGAAGGTGCTGTAAATTGTACATATTTTATAACAGGCGTGGTATAGTAGCCATACTTAAAGTACGGTGAAAACAAAATTTTTAAGCTTCGGTTCGTTTTGAGAAGCAATTAGGAGTATTCTATTATGTTTTACTAAGTATTGTGATGCAAGTAAATTAGTATAAGCCTAATTCAAAATATCTTTCCTCAATATCATTAAATACATTGCCATAAAAATCTTACAAATTAAATCACCTACAATATGTGATAATTTAAATAAATATTCGTGCACAAAGGAAATGTGTCCAAATTATAATAATAATAATTGGATAATTTGTAATTTTTATCACTATGGCAACACTAACCTAACTGTCACCTTTTTAATATTTTTAAATGCGATTTGGTAATTATAAATAAGACAACGGCTTTTGAGTCATTTTGGGTAAAATTGAACTAAAGAAGTTGGATAAATGAATTTTAGTCTGTTCTATAATATCACCGTTTCGGTCCAATATTTCTGTAACACCTACTGGTGTAACATTGGATCTTGAGAAAACACTATGTTTTTAAAATTTACTCGAATAAAAATACTTTTTACTTGTATCGCTAAGATGCAGGCATTAATTAGTTATTTAAAATTATGATCCGGCGTCACTCTGTGTTAGTTCAATTTTATCCAAAATGACTTTATTTACTTATTCATTTTAATACCACTCCTAGCACACTTTTGCGGCATATTGAGTCTATATATTATGTCAATTAATTGGTGTTTACCAGTATTTACTTTTTAATTATAACTTTTCCTCACCCAAACAAATAAAATTTTATAAAGCTAACGTAATAAATAAATTGATATTACAAACATGTTGTTTATAAAGAACTCTACAGGTAACTATTATAATTTGTGCCTAATAAAATACCATTGTTACTTGTGTAAATAATATTTGTAGTCGCACAAAAATGTTCTATAGGTACATGATGTATTGCGCTTAACCCCTAAATCTGGGGTCAAGCGCAATACGGATACTGCGACCCCGTCCTGGAGCAGGAGAAAGATGAAGGTGGTTTTTAGACCGTAAGAGTTTGACATTCCCTTTCGCCTCACCCTAGGCGAAAAGCTACACGAGAAAATGCTACGTGACTGCACTTTTGGTGCGGATGAAGAGCGGTGAAGGCTAAGCACTACTTAAGCAGTATCATAAGTCTGAGCTTCGCGAGTTTCAGTTTGAATGAGTACTAGAGGACTTGCAAGTACGTTGCCGGAATTTGGGGATTGAGGATGACGGGGTGGGGATTGGGCTTCCGATAATATCACGGTGAAACACAACTCAAGTATTGTTTCAGGTCGCTTTCCCAAACATATTTAATTACATAGTTCATTTGTTTCATTTTAAAATAATAATAAGTTAATGATATTTCCCATATTAACACTTGACCTTCATATTTCTACACAAATATAATTCACACAAGTAAAATTTAAATAACCCTTACTCTCTCTAAGGTTCGTTGTTAGTTAACATTTACCTAAAAGTGATTTTCATTATATCATCACCCAGGCACTGATTTATAAGCACTATTCATTTGCTACGCGACTAAATTCCTTAATTTACTTAGGTTATAGTCCAATTTAGCTTCTAGTCCTGGCTGATCGGATATTTTATAGTATGTATAACACTGATTTAATTTCCCTTTTTTCAAACATACCAGCCACACTACGTTCTTATAAGCCCCATCTGAGATAATTTCCAGATCGGCCAATTGGAAGCGACTTACATCCAGCGGCTTACCACAGATCACTGCACTCTAAGGTCTCGTTTAAGTTTAAGCGGCGAATTGCGCGGCGCGTATTTCATTTGTCGTACATTACAGCATCAAGTCGTGTCAACGGCCGTGCAAACACAAACATATGAACATCACGAGCAATGTATGACGAACCGCACATCGCACCGCACAACGCGCCGCTTAAACGTAAATAAGGCCTAAGCGATGTACATTGTTATTGCTTATTTGTATATTACATTGACAAGTTCATAATCAAGATTGTTTTCAAAACTCATTTCCTTGCGTTACGAACCGTTATCATAATGGTCAAGAAATAATATTGATAAAAAACATAAATTTTAATCAATAAAATTAAATAAAGACGTCAACTTCTATGAGTCAATTGTCCCTTTAAAATATTTTTGATATTGATTAACTGTCAACCGATAGGTACTAATGTATTTTATAAGTATGTTTCTTTTATATTGGATTTCAATTATTTTAATGCTATTTTCTCACCTTGAAAAAGTACTAACCTAACTTATAGAAGCATACTTAAACATTTGTGATATTCCAAAAACAGCTAGGGCCCGTTTCATCGCCTTCTTACAAGTACCTGATAAACTTTTATCTATATTCAAATTTATTTAAAGAAAGTGATTTTTTTTAAATATCAGCATAAAGACTTTTCATATTTTCTACTTACGACTTAAATAAGTGAAATAATAATGCGTAGTATTAATTTGAATATTTCCTTGACATCTCCATTATAACTTCATACAAATAACTTACAACATATTTAGTTAAGAGTGGCGTGCAAAAAATATTATTTAGACACAATGGTATTGACAAACGACCAAGGAAAACATTGTAAAGAAACCAGTCAATCCGTCTGGAGCAAACGTAGTGATTAATGCCCTTACCTTTTCTGCGTGAGAAGAGGCCTTTGCAGTAGACACTCAAAGGCTGACGATGTTAATGGTCATTATTTTATTAAATGAATCCATACTATTTTTAAATAAACTTACTATTATGGGGGAATTAATACCATCACCACTATGCCAATGTAGGTGCGCCATTATTTTATTTGTTTTGTTTGAAACAATGAATTTATTTTTGCAAATAAGCCATAAAACGGCACTTTTACAAGTTAACGTTTGCTCGAAGGACACGTTTATGATGTTCTGCGCTCTGATTGGTTAGCTTCATTTACATTGCCTCGCGCTAACTTGCGCTTGAGCGCTCGTCTCACTCCAATATAAAAAGATTATAATCTCTATTATAAAATCTTTTTGCACGCAACTGTAAATTTCATTGTACATTTGTGACGTAATTTCTGATAAATATTTTAAATGCACAAAATGCTAATTTTATTGTGCATAAGTTGTTGTTTTCTTTCATCTTTCATAGCCTTTCTTATTCTAGAGATACAGTCAGTCTCTAGAGCACAGTATAACCTCAACAAGAGAAGCTTACAAATCAGTTACTTTATTCTAATCCAAGAACACACTGTTCTTAAAACATAATTTATGACGCAGATTACAAATATAACCTAATCTTACGTTTGGTAATAAAACCAATGCCGCGAAAGGTCAACTTTTATTGGATACAGTTGATTTGTCATTTTGTGAAATAAATATTGATTTCACAAAATAAAGAGGCAAAATAACGAAAGTAATCTTGCACATAATGCTGAAAAGCAGAGATTCAGGTGAAATATTCGGTTGTCAGTTAAATAATTATGGTAAACAGGCAAAATTATGTGATTTTGTTATTTTAATTGTCATTGGTATAGCAATTTCTATCTTAAGCTAATTGAATTAAGTATGATATTCGAGCAGTTAAAAAGTAGAAATTATGTTTTCATAATTCCATTTATTGTTTGCCTCCTTATTTTGCGTTACAAATACAAAGTATTTAACGTAAACACCAACCCTTTAACGATACCCATTTAAAATAAAACCCTGTACCGCAAAACATCCGCTTTAACATAAATCACAGACTTGCACCTAAATCAAATGTAGACGAGAATACTGGACGAAATGAATAATAAACTTTAATCTGAGAATGTTAAGGTGCAAAAATACATGTCTCCTATTTCACTTAATAACAACATACATGCTTTTACTATTAATAATTATCATACATTCGAGTTTCTTGCAGTTTGTCTTTGCGCAAAAGTTAGCGCAATGGTTGCGCATCAACTCTTAATTTGCGCAAGTTACCCACATACACTATCACAGGTAGCTATTTGTCCTATTTGTCATAACACTTACATTTATGTGTACTCCCAATTACTGTACTTACAAATCACAAAAAGTTTAACTTCATTTCTCTTCTTTCGTCGAGTATTCCCATCTCATAAAATGTCTCATAAATTATAAATACACAAATAAATTTGTCTAAAAGTCTAACCTGAAGCGTACTTTAACATTTTCTGTATAAATGCTGACTGAATTTCGTCGGCCCTGGAAAGAAATAGGTTTCGTGTAAATTACCTTCAAATAAAACTTAAAAAAGTGCTTTATTTTAGGTGAATATGATTCACTTTTTTTTTCTATTCTTTATTTTATGGGACTTTTGAACACAGTTCACGTCAGTCCTATCATAAACTAATCTTAAGTTAACACATTCAGTGCCCCCGACGCGTATGTGCGTTTCCTCGCACGCACATACGCGTCGGGGGCACTGAATGTGTTAACTAACAAAATAAACAAACTAAACAAAAACAGTGCTTTAAATATTAACTAATGAGTATATCATTTTTGCCTCACGGGATAGTGGGCGAGCCAAAAAATAATAAAATACGCCTACGTCTAACCTATTTATATTTAGTTCTCTAATAATTCTGTTTCTCTCAATTCACTTTATGTGATCCACAAATTGTTGTTGCGAGTCTAACGCACCCACGATACAGGAGAAAATCCTAGTTTGGGGCAACGTTTTTTTTTTAAATAATATTACTCGCATACGATTGCATACCTAGAAGTGTGGTATACTTTAGCCACCCAAACATTTGCAGACTTAAATTCTCATATCTATTAAAAACCATACTTACTTGGAACTAGTAACAGTATGCATCAAGTTGATGATGTATCTCGGACAGACGTCCTCGTGCATGACTCGCGCGTGGAACAGTAGACCTTGGCAGAGACAGTATAAGATCTCAACGAGCGGCCATTTCTCAGGAATCAAGCCTTTCTGGTAGCCCCATGAGCCAAGAATCTGGAAAGTGGGTAAAATATTGTTACTGTGCTTCAGAGATTATTCTGCTTAGGGGAACAGACTTTTCATATAATTTTATACGAGTCTTTTCATTATCTGATACCTATAAACAAACTGATATTCACAGGGTCTCGGGAACGCCTACAATGATTACGATGAAATTTTGGTAGATGTTCAGGAAATAAATTAGCTTTACTCTCTTTGAATCAGAATAGAATATTTTTATTTAGCATTGAATGAATGTAATTCACTTGGCTCGGAATTTTGCTTATAATATAAACATAGTATATAGCGCATAATAGAAATAAGTACTTGACAAAGGGTAAAATCTACTAGTAGGAAATGAAACCAGAGTGATCTAGATATAAATGAGGCACTTGTAGTATGACTAAAAGACTTGGGTACTTTGACTGTACTGTCACAGTACACAGTCGGGCAGCTCATTGCACCAGAGTTACCTTGTCAATGGCCGACACTCTCTCGGTCACCTTATTTATACTAAATGCTGACACTGACATTGACAGTTCTAGTGTTACAATAATTATAGTCACAATTCGATTCCAGATTTGACATTAACCACTGTCATTTTGTGAAACAATGATACCACATATAACAGTGTAGTGATGAACACAAAAATCGATAAACTATTAGTGAATCAATTACAGGAAGGCATTCAAAAAATTACGACTACTGAATGGTCGAAATGCGTATCCCATGTTGTCGAAGAAGAGGAAAAAATGAGTAAGCTAGATATGTTAATTGACAATAAATATCACAGACACAATTCATAATAAATGTAACAGAAAGTAACAGCGAAGACGGCGACAATTTATAAAAAAATATTACCATAATAGATAAAAAAAATATTAATTTCACACACAATCATCAAAGAAAAGTATCAGATGGTTAATTAATTGTCAAATCAAAATTATCAATTCAGAAATATTTAATTTCCTGATAAATTTAGATTACAAGAGTAAATTTATAAACGAATGTAATCGATTCGGATATATTCGATTTCCATATAGAATAATTTCGCTACGTCACTATTTAGTACTTGTCATATCGTTGCAACACTGAAATTGTCAAATCAGGAATCTAATAAAAATTCCGAGTATAGTATCACTAATTAGAGATGATACAACAGCACTTACTTGTAAGGAAGAAGTGACAGGCGCTAACGAGATAGGGGTGGACGGTGAGGCTCTGAAGGCAAGTCCTGATAGGAAGCCAGCCGGTATCGCGTACATAGCGCTGTCCTTGCCGTGCGCTCGACATAGTAAGCACACTACTAGCTGAAATAAATATTTTAATTAATTTAGGGCTGATTTTTCAATGGTTAGATAAAAGTTAGCTAGGGAATAATTATGATGCTGTCGCGTCAGAATGTTTGTATAAGACAGTGACAGCAACAATTTTATTCCACAGATAACATTTATCTGAGTTTTGAAAAATCAGCCCTAATACTATACCAGTACTACTACTAATACTAACTCACATATTTTTGCCCCAATCACAGGACTCATAATATAGCTAGCGAACAGTGAGTTTACCAGTGTTATATTTGACCTTAACCCTTCACCCCTTCCGCCCTTTGTATGTTCTATACTTAGTTCTCTTATAATCTTCTACTATAGAAACATTTTTTTAATCAGCCGTTGTCATCCCACTGTAGGGCAAAGGCTTGCCTACCCTTCTTCCACTCCTGTCTCCACAAAGCTTTCTGCGGTCAATCCTCGTCGAACATATCAAGTTCTTCCCGCCATCTCCTTCCATAGAAACTATCGTGGCACATAATAAATTTATTGAATATAACTAATTACTTACCAGTGTCAAGTCACAACGGGACTCTTATTTATGAGCAGCGTCGCGGATCAACGTGCCGATAAACTTACGGAGCTTTTTTTACGTAAGTTGTTATTTTCAACAAGTCATCTAGTATTCATACCAGCAAAATATCTCACAAAACCAGAAGAGGTATTGTAAAGATAAGTAAAATTAAAATAAAATCTTAATTTACCCTATAAATACCGATGTATCCTCCGAAGAACAGTCCAAGCTTCATATGTGACATCTTCAAAGATTTGAATGCTTTCACGGGTGTCAATATTTTGGGGATAAGCGTCCTCAGCATAGTCATTGCGCATCCAACACCGAACAGTTGTGCTGTGCCCTAAAATGTATAAAGCCAAATATTACCACACATATTTCTGCAGTCGAAGTCAAAGTTAAAATCAAAATCAGTTACTTCAATTAGACCTTTACAAGCATTTTTAAGCTTAAAGATAAAAAGTGGCAGTCTGTCGGTCCTTCCTCTAAGTCTATCTTAGTCTATTTGCTCGTTCAAGAAGAACGAACAAGAAACTCCATGGTTACTGGAAATTAGCTATTAGGTAATGCGTGTGAAAGTATAATATTACCTTTAAAATATAATTGATGCAGGGTTCTTTGTGTGGGCACGCCGGACTCCTGCCATGTATTCCTGTCACAGGCTCGCCAGTTTCTTTCGATACACGTGGCGGTGTGAAAAACCTTTAAATATACATAATTATACAACTTTACTTAGATTTGGGTCAAAGGCCTGATAAATAAGGCAGTTCTGTTTGAAACGGCACATTTGGAGAGATTTCCCTCTCGTTACAAAATGTTTTTTTATCTCTAAGGTGTTCCTGATTTTCATTTAAGATCGATAGTGCGTTTAAAATGGACATATAAGTAGTAATGGTACATATCAAACACAATTCAAACATAATAAAAAAAATCTATAAATAAAGTTGTGGATTTGCATTCAACAAACTCGTTTAATGTAAATAAAAAACTATAAACCTAGATCTATAAATACATACTTGCTGAACAGTTAGTTATACGTCGACTTTAAACACACCAAGATAAGTAGCAATATTGAATTTTTAACAGGGAAAAGATCCGTCATATCAAAATGAATCTTATATTTTTACACAAAAAGTCTAATTTTCCGTGTATGAATAAATAAAAAATATTCCAGTATATTTTTAATTCAATGGAATACATACCAGAACAAAGGCGTCCGTTTGTCGTTGTCTCTATCTAACCGCATAAGATAGAAGAAGAGAGCGCTACCGAGCATAAAGACTAAAGTCTCTTTGCCTGGAGACCGCCGCAGCCAACCCTTCATTTCTAATGTCCGTACCCAGTACTCGAACACCTGAAAAAAATGATATGGACATTGAATTTTGAACTCTATTTAGCTTTAAGAATAGTCTCAAAATGTCCATAGATAGGTTTGAGCACAGAAACATTTTGTTGGACTACCTATTTTGTTAGCCAAATCGTTTAACCGATAACGTATTTTAAAACTAGAGTATTTAAAGTCGATACTGCATTGGAAATAATAAATATTACAATTTTGTTATTTTCAGAAGCTATTTTAAGGCGTACATCTACCTGTGAATTAAGACAAAGAGTATAGGTGCATTGCACCGGAGCCGGAGCGGGTAGCCTTAAAGAAAGGATGTCATACATAATTCAGTTTCAGTTTAGTAATAATAAAATGTACATGTATATAAAATGTATGTGTGCACATACACATATATTTTTTTCAACATATTTTTGTTGTAAATCATATTCTAGTTTGTTAATCATATTTAAGCAGGCCTCGCACGAATATAATCATATACAAAATTATCCAACATTTGTTTAAATAATGAATATATTGTTAGGACAAAGTTCAACCACACTTTTTTTGTCAAACTGGTATAATATCGTATAAAATATCAAAGTGATTTGAGAAATAATGTTAAATACTAGATGTATTATATGTATGTTCTTTTCAATAGAGGTAATCTGTAAGCCACACAAAAGAAACTGTATAATAATTCTATATTATAATGTATCAGTTAAGCTGTTAAACAAATATAATTATTTTTAACAGAGTAACGATGGAGTTTCTTGCTTATTCTTCTCCATTCGAATCTACAATTTGGTACGAGCCCCTTCCGAGCTTCACTGCCGAACAGATTGACAGGCTACCTATTTTGAAGATTCAAAATTACCTAGTCATGGTTTAGATGGAATGAATGACTTTGTAGATCCATAACACAGGGTTTCCCTAGCACGGACTCCAGTCTCTCGCAAATGAGCTTTGTATTGTACTTTTTGTTTAGTCCTAAGATGTCATTAATTAGCTATCCTTTGTGGAGAGAGAAATAAATTTTATTATTATTAATATTTTGACTTTGACTTTCTAAAAAATATTTCTGTGACATTGGTAATATTGTTGACTAACCATATCATATAAAGTGTGGCTCTGCATTACCTTTACTTTTTTTGTGGGTGGCAAATCATCAACGTTTCCCGACCTGGGTGGGACGAAAGGTGTAAAAGTCTCTTTCTGACAAAAACTCCCCGTTCCTTCCTCTGTTCCGGGCTGAGGCCGCGGTACACTACTGCCCTTCCAACCCCGGCTTCTCTCTACACTACATCAGGGATCAGGGATGACTAGCAGAAAATGCTATTGGCGTTCAGTCCCGAGAGGCAATTGTATATGAAGTATGAAGTATAAATAAAAAAAAGTCGTATTTAATGAAAATATCAATAAAGTCATAACTCATAACTTCCTGCTTGAACTCGTCTCATGAATTAATGTCTGTTATTCAATGTCATTTAAAGATGTTGATCTGTCTGTTACATAGACAGTCAATACATGAAACGTAAACAGGACCACCATTAAACAACACTAAATATAATTATTAATAAATAAATCATTTTGTACGAAACTAAATGAGGCCTTTACCTACTAAATTGTGGCATATCAAAATTAGAAAGAAGCTTGATTTATACATTATCAGTCTTTAGGTGCCAACAGCTGAGTATAGGCCTCTTCTCGCACGGAAAAGGTTTGAGCATCATTTACACGAGCAACTAAGTCGTGGTAGTAGACTTAGTTGCTCGTTTAAATTAAATATTTTTTTTTCACTGAGCTGACTGTACTCCAAACAGTCACATCGGTTACTAGCCATGTTCCAAACACTAACCCTCGAGCATAAGGAATGGGCGCTTTAACTACCACGCCACCACAGTACAAGCTCGAGTAAGAACTTGTACTTATTTGAGTTAGTAAGAGTTAGGAAAATAATAATATTTTTGCGAAATACTAAAAACAAGTTGTAATACCCGTTGGCGTACAACTTGAGAGCCTTGCAGCTATATTATTACTTCAAACATAGGTGTTTATCACACGACATAATACGTAATGATATTGACCGAAGTACAATATTCAAATTTAAAAAAAGAACTGGTTTTATTTCTCATACTTTGATTGTTACGAGTTTACGACCTTTTTTACGTGAAACTTTTTGCGTTTAAGTGCCTCTACCTACTTATTCCTACATCCTTTAAAAACATTGTTTCGTATTTTTCAATGGATTATCCGTTAAAAGGTTAGATAAAACTGCGTGTTACCAATAAATGTGAAACTAAGAACACTAAGTACTCATTATTTTTAAGTGAACTATGACGTGATACAGCGCAGTTTGCCCTACAATGTGTAAACATTGTATATTTACTCGTATTCGAGATCAAGAATATACCTACGTATTCTAAATAATGATTTGCCATCATGACTATAAAAGGATACACATTAATATTGATGAATGAATATAAAAAAAGAAAGAAAGAAGTCTTTTTTCCTCAGAAAGAAAGATTTGACTATACCTACGGACGATAATAATATCTACATATATTTTAAGTAAGGTTCAATAAACAAAACAACTAAATGGTAACTATTTATCTGAACCTTGAGTATTTTCCTTAAGCCTACTGTTATCCCTTAGTACTATTTTATCATAACTGTAAAAGAATATGATAACAATTAATTGTTGTCATGATTATTTTATATTAGAAGCTGATAAACAACAGTAACATTTTCAAAAGTGGAATACCTGATGTTTGATGAATTAAATTCGAAACCATTTTGACATCAGCGCAAAACAAAGTATTCAACTTAGGGCTGATTTTTCAATAGTCAGATAAATGTTATCTGAGGAATAAAATTGCTGTCACTTTCTTACAGAAACATTATGACGCGACATCATAATAATTATTCCCCGCCTAACTTTTATCTAACCATTGTAAAATTAGCCCTTAATTACTAACAATTGGAATAAAAATTAGACTCACCAGATTCACAAACAAATTGAGCACCATAACTCTTCTGTATGGTGGCTCGCAGTACACTGCTAGTCCACTTACTGTGCATGGCAACAGCACTGTGCTATAATATGAAAATTCGCTGAAGAACAGCCGTCTGGAAACAATATATGTACTTCTATTAGCCATCTACATTGAAAGAAAGCAATCTAGACTAGATCAATGGTGAAGCAATTTCAAGTCAACTTTCTTCATAACTCTCACTGCTCAATCATTATTGGTTGTACAATAAAGTATTTATTGTAGCAATTTGTTCATGCTAATCGGTGGACCGACGACATCGTCAGAGTCGCAGGGAGCCAATGGATGCAGGTGGCAACTTGTCGTCCGATGTGGAGAGCCAAGGGGGAGGCCTTTGTCCAGCAGTGGACGTCTTCCGGCTGATGATGATGATGAATCGGTTCTCCTTGATTAATTCATTTTATGACACAAAAACAATTCTTAAATTATTGCCAGTACTTCCAGAAAGCACATGTTAAGGAATAATGATGATGAAAAAAAATAGGATTTCAAAGAAAGGTTTACTTAGACCATTACCAAACCCATTTTTTGGCTTTAGGACTTCAGTGTAGAATCTTAAAAAGATGTTTGTAGTCGACAATACTTATTTATTGCTTCAGTGCTGTGTTTACAAGAGTGATTGTCGAGGTTCTAGATTCAACCTATATTTAGATAAAACACATTTATGCTTAGATTTAAAAATCACTGGAAGTCCCAAATATCAAATAGTAACTATACTATAGTATAAATTAATTTAATATTAGGAGTCTAATAGTCAATATTATAATAACATGATTCAATTGCACCAAAACAAAAAACGGTAATAAAAATATATGTAGTAGGAGATAAATCCTACTGTGTGGCAATGTGTCTGTGGAGGCTGTCTTTATAAGAATACTAATGTGAGTTTGTGAAAAACATTGGCTATTATGCAATGTGTTGTTGTGGGAAGAAATTACGCTTTAGTATGGGTTGACCTTATTTATTCTAAGAAACAGATCAACAAAGACTAAAAAAAATGTTTTTTGGATCGCACAAAGTATTGTTCTGTGCATAAATTGAACCCACAACACATTACACAACAGCCAGTTTCCCAGCCACTGTGCCAACCATGCTGTCACATATTACTTATTGATAGACTAGCTTTTGGCTGCGGCTTTATTCGCATGAAATAGAGACCTTCTACAGATTTTTGGATTAAAAACTATCCTATGTCCTTTCTCGAGTTCCAAACTATGTCTGTACAAATAGGCTCAGTAGTTTAGGCGTAAAGAAAAGACAGACAGGCAGAATTACTTTCGCATTTATAATATTAGTTTGGATTTTGGATATACAGTAGAATCAAACTGAGTTGAATATATTTAAGAGCATTACACAAAGCTGTCTTCAACATTAAGTAATTACAAAACATTAAAAATTAATGATGTCAACATACAGAGAAGTAACATTACAATTTAAAAACATTATATATTTTTCTTCACATTTTTCCTAACATTTATGTGTAGTAATTAAAACTAACAACCTACTATTGAAACATAATAACTTTGTAAATATCATAATTAAGTATAAAAGTAAATGTAAAAATAATACTTATATTTAATAACTACTTTTGTTCATATAAAAACCTCTAGCAAACTTTAAAGGAATTATTACTAAAAATATTTTCTGTGCTGTATTCTGTCTTTTTGTAGCACTTAAATCTATTTTTGTCACTTAATAAATTACCTGAATATGCAGTTCAATGTGACAAAGGAACTGCCAACAGTCAGCCCGAACACTCCCGATTTTAAATATAATTTGAATTGTTCTAACATTTCCTTCTTCCCAAGTTTTTTACCTCTCATTAATATTTGGATCTGAAACAATAATAATTGCAATATTATTATTACTGTATATACTTAGCTGGTAGGTAGTTCATAGATTGCATTTGGGTTAAAAAAAATTAAAGAATGCTGACTAGTTAAAGTCTTAGGACACTCATTTTAAAACTATAATCAAACTATTTCATTGATAGTTTTTATTCAAGAGAATAGTAATAACATTGATTATAGTTAGTAAAATGTTATTATAAGTATTAACGAAATGATTATTCATAAATTAATAACATGAATGCAATATTCCATAACAATGTCTATAGCACCTATAGCTTATGGAATTATCTCTTTAAAAACATGGGTTCAAAGGCCATTAGGCTAGTGTTGAATAAATTAATTAGTCCTACTTTTAGCTAACATGCAATATTCGTGATTTCATGTGAACATGTCTTGACCCAGTTTTAATAAGAGTTAAAATACACGAATACTCACGAGATAGACCATGGCATAAAATTTATAGCTCCCTTTTATACAACTTATCAACATTGTTCTCGTAGCATCTGAACATCGATACGTCCACGGGTGTATAAGTTCATGGCACCTACAGGTACTGCACGCAGCTTCGAACCAAAGTTTACTAGCCTCAACCATTTTAAAATATTAATATATTTTACACTTATTTGGAAGACGTGTGTGCTATAAACACTGATAACGACTGACGTAGTCCACTTAAAACTAATGTTCTTTCATAAATAAGTCTACTAACTAACGGGTAATTTTGATGCCCGAAACGTATGATGTTCATACGTTTAAGACAAAAATTGAACTGTGGAAATTATCGTGTTATGCTTTACTCTATACTCAACGATTCAACTATCGCCCGATTACAACCTGAGATTACAAGTTACAACAAAAAACAGTGACAGACCAGTCTGAGATGACAACTGACAATGACATTTCGAATTGAGATATTTTTGCGTTTCTGAATAACCAAACAAAAAAAAACAGTAGTAGAAAAATATTCTACATCCTGTTTTTTAAATCTAATTTTAGTTATATGTAGTGTGCATGCGCAATTTGTGAAATATAATATTTGTATAGAAAAAAGACTGCAAAACACTACGGTTGGGTTCAATCCAACCAGTCCAAATTTTTTTACAGCTGTGTTACATTGAGTCTCACTTTGAGTTTGTTTTTGTAAACTTCAATCGAAATAGTTATTATTATCCACATTTAATACATAGACCAAAATTTGTATGTTTTTAAAGTTAACTTAAGATATTGATTGTGCTATTCTGACTTCCACGGTATAAATTAAAATTTAATTTTTATTTTTCATAATTTTATATTCTTAAACACAATCAACGGAAAATGGACTTTAATAGGTGCCCAGATAGAAAGCTAAACAATTTCGCTGATATAGCGACTTACCTACGAAATAGCAAAGTACTAAACAATCATTACTTTAAATAAAATTGTGTGGTGGTGTGGGTAAGTGTGGGAGAGCCAAGCTTCGGCAAGAACGGGTCGGCTCGACAGTAATTATACCATAGCCTCACAGAAAACCGGCGTGAAAGCGTTGTGTTTTGTCGTGTAAGTTAAGTAACCGGTAGCTCAAACCGTTCCCCTCTCCCCAATCCTTAAATATTCAAAACCCTCAACGGCCGGCAACGCACTCGTAACTCCTTTGGTGTTGCGGGTGTCAAACGGCGTCGCCGATTGCTTACCCTTGCTCAGGTAATCCGTATGTTCGTTTGCACAAAACAAAGTGTAGGTACCTACACTTCTAAACTTAATTTTTTTTTGAGAGGGTGAAAAACGTTATACCTCTATTGAACACTCCATTAATATTTCTCTTTATTTTCTATACTCCATTAATTTTTTTAGATAAGTACCCGCAATTTCGGAAGAATTACAAGAACCCCTTGAGGCTGAGGGCACGACGTTTGTAATACGAATTTTGAAGATGTGTCTTATCTACTATAATTATAATTAACTAGAAAATAAGAAGGTAATTGGTTGAATTAATTACAAATTTCAATTGAACTGTTCCAACTTATTTCTTACATTATTAAGAAACAATAACATGTACTTATATACCAATCTTAAAATGTCACTAGGTCGAGTCATGGCTTCAGAGGAGTGGTCCTTTGCCTTACCGTCAAAGTGTATAATTATAAACACTATGTTCTACTTACCGTATGTCATCAGAGCGGTAAGCGGTAACCTATTTGGCCTGCGGCTAAAAAGACTCCACGGCCCCTTTACCTTTCGCCTGATGCGGGTATTTCCTGAATACGGAAAGATTCGAGAAGTACCGGTTCCAAATCCAGCCGGATGCAACGCCCTGGTTTTATCACTGCGAGTACCACCAAGAGGATACGGAGCTGATATGCTTGAGATGAGCACCACAGCGTCCTCGGAGATGCGATCGGCTGCGAAGACCTATCGCGCCTGGCCTTAGTCCAAGCCATGGTGCGGTGAAAGCAACTAGGAAGCCACCATCTTCATCATCTGCGACGCAGTTATGCTCGCAAATAAGGAGGCGGAACGCATAAGAGGACCATCCTCCTCATACTCAAGCTGCCGCTAGAGACACCCGGGGCGTTGAGGATCACTCGAAGATCTCCGGAATCGTACGCGCAGGTAACTGGACGGCGAGCAAAGTTAGCTCAATAGAATGTAAAGAGCAATTTTCAGCCGGTAGTGTTGCGGATGCAAATGCAATAATGTACTGCGTCTGGCCCGGAGCAGGAGCAGGAACGAGTTTTAGTCAGTAAAAATCTAACACTTTTTCTCACCCCGGGGCTGGAGAAGTCAGTGGAATAACAACATTTTTGTACAGAAAAATAGTGCTATTATACTTAGTCTTTAAGATAAAAATATACTTACTGAAAATATCACTAGAAACGGTGTATAATAAATCACAGTGCCCTTCCCACAGGCCCAAGACATATCGATAAATGCCTTCAGACAGCTTTCTGTCCATGGATGCATCAGTTCATGACATGTAAATTTTGTAACTTCACTATTATTCACCATAAACTTGCTACATTCAACCATTTTTACGGATTTTTAAATATTTTATTTAAATTCTTTTGATCAAAATCAAAAGGTTGTTCACTATTTGGAATGGGGACCACTTATTTAGTTCACAGTAACGACTACTGTTCACGACAAAGAACTGAAGTTCATTTAAAATTTTAATTTTAATTGTAAAGACAGTAAGGTTAAGTAGGAAGCATAAATGCAATAAGTACATGTGATATATTATTTTTACTTGTATATTCTCAAGTAGATAAACGATTATTATTCGTAATATTATATCATACTGGTTGTTTAATATAAATTAGACTTGATTACATCTTTTATACGTTTACGGGTTTAGTCCCAATCCCAAATTTTATCAAAAACAATCCTACATGGTAAGAAGAGGCACGAAAACTGCATTATCATCGTCATCATCATCATCTTCAGTTCATAGTGCTACTAAGCACAGGCCTCTTCTTACACGATCAAAGTAGATTTATAACTTTTAAATTGAAAAATAAATCCGAGTTTCCTCGACATGCTTGCCCTTTCCCTCCTTTTCCATATAATCTTGATGCCTAAATAATCTAGACAATAACTAGGAAAAATACACCGCCCTGAACGAGAAGCAGGCGCCTTAGCTCATGAAAAAGTACTTATTATCATACTCTGTAACCACGACATTACATAATTATTATGTATATCACGACACAGACTCGTAATATTAACAATTGTTTTTGTTTATTTTGACGTATCCAAAAGGTCAGACCCAAAACTTATTAACTCGATGGACTTGTTTTGAAATGAGTTATGGATTGAAAATTATTAAGTACAAAAACAGTAGATAAAAGTACCGTACCGAAAATTCATTGCCCATTTGAATATCATCAGTTTCATTCCAAGTAAATTAAATATTGAATACTTACACGGTATAAAATAGAATACAAAACGTATACGCAAAATCAAGAAACAAAGAAGTTCAACTAAGCCAACTCTTGGCGCCACTGTAGAATTAATCGTCTATGGTCACCACAACCTAAAGTAAAGTTCTAGAATTTGCCGCTAATGTCGATTGTCGCTGCAGTCGGTAAATGGACGTTTGATGTGGTTGTTTGTCAAGAGTGTCCCATTGTCTGTTTACAGTGATTTATTTCCCAAAAGTATAATCTTACTTGAAGTAAAAGGTTTTAAGGAGTAGATGAAGGTGTGTATTAAATGGTTACCCAGTTATTTTTAGATAAAAGTTGTTGTAAGTGTGAATATTGAATTGGCGCTTGGGGACTCCACTGTGGTACGAGTCGATTCATCTCTTCCATGTCAGCTGTACACAAAGATGCTACGCATTTACACAGTAATCGTTGAATTAATGAATTAAATCAGTACTTTTTCTAGGAAATAAGTCTGGTTTCGTTGTTGAAAGCCTATTAAACATGCGTAATAACTGTATTCTGTAGGTTTATCCGCCGTACTACGGAGGTTATGGACTTGTGTTGTCCTTATTTTTACAAAGAAGATAATTTATCGAAAAAAGTGGTTTTATCACACCTAATGACCCCTCGCGGTGTTTTAAAGGTACATATTTATCGTTCACTAGTGCTTTAGCGTATTAATTTGTGTCCATATGTATGAAAACAATCGTATCAGTGTTTACGTAGATAAGTACGAAATATGGGTTGTTTTAACTAAAGTGTTAGTCAACATTTCAGAATAACCATCACAGATTTAGTTTTATAACCTTGTTTGCTGTAACTTGTGAGTTCAATGCCATAAAATCTTCGAGACCCATTATTTACATGAAAAACTACCAAAGACAATATACCTATGTATATTCAAAATTATTTTAGTAAGTAAAGTTGGTCATTATGTGTATTATATAGAAGTACTTAGCAAGTAGTTTTCAAAATATACAGCTTTTTATGCATAACTTTGTGGGCACATTGCAGAATCTCAACCAAGACTCAAGAAAAAGGTTTTCAAGCAATGTTAATTGTACCAAATACATCTTGAAATCATCTATTTGTTTAAGGTTTGTTAATAATGACTATCTAAGAAATCAGAAGGTACATAATACATAAGTTTACTTGTAGCTAGGAAGGTAACCATATCACTAAAATATTATTAAAAATATTACAAGGTAAAGACAACCTTATACAAAAACTGATTAAGTTGATTACAACTTTCTTATAAAAAGTTGATGAAAAACATTTAATAAGGTATTTATATATTTCATAGGAATGAAGTTAAATATAGCAAGTCTTTTTTGTTTTCTTTTATTGTTAATTTTTTACATATTTAATATCTATAACAGTCATATTATACACATGTGTTAGTATAAGACAACATTTTAGATTTGAACTATAATAAATACAAAAACAGGCACTAAAATACAAACTGCTATTTCTCAGTGTCAAATTAATGCCACCATATTTTTTCTTGCTATTTGAATATGTTGTACCTAACTCAGTTTCCCACTATCAGTTCTATGGGTCATAAAAAACTTACCAAACATGTTGAACACAAAAGAAACAAAAAATGTTTGCTATTCAAAACTGCAATTTTAGATCTAACTTTGAATGGATTAAAAATTGACCTAGTTACATTGGAAAATCATTGTTCAAGATTTTGTGCTTTGTTGCTATGTTGCCTGACACTAAAATGATTAGTTGGTTGTATATTTTTTCAGGCTAATTACAATCGTTCTGAGTTAACCATTTAGGTGATTTATTCTATGTAAATTATCTTGGATTGCCCTAAATACACAAATGTGTATTTGAATAAATGTTACTTTATAACTTTTTCAAATGGTTTTTTTTTATAATTTTGGATGTAGAAATCATTATAATTATTTTTTTTATTTAAACAATTTAATATTACACAGTAAAATTTTCAATAGCAAAATATTTTT